TATTTCGAAGACGCGATATGTGCTCACCTCGCTCGGCGCAGGTAACGTTGTACCACAAAATGCCTGAGTCAACTAAAATCAGGTAGGCAACCATTAGATTTGTAGCACAAAAATCAACAAAGTTTGGTGTCCTAGTGCCGGTAAAGTAGCTGAGCGAATCACAAATATGAAGGAGGCTGTGGTAGTGTATTGTTTCTTTGAGCGGACTGTACTTGTGAAGGGGTGATTAGCATTTTGGACCGGAAATAACCAGATGGGGGCCGGGCGGATCCCCTTAATTCAGGCCTTTGATTGTGAAACGGTGAGCGCAAAAGTAGTTCAAGTCCACTTGTTCATGGTTCCCACAAGGCGGGCAAATTCCACTCTTAAAAATCAGTCAGTACTAACAAATAACGGAACAGCTCAGCAAGTGTTCCCGACCACAGACTTCTTCGATAGTCCGCTGACAACCTTAAGTATAATCAGTGGCTCCATAGTCCTTGCAAGATCTTGGAAGACTCACGTATGGAACGTTTCTTAAGCCCGTCGTAAGAGGACAAACGTTCATGCCCTGAACAGGATTCGAACCAACATCGACCGAGACCGACGCCCCAGACAGCACTGCCACTGTGACAGGCAGCTTAACATACTTGGAGACTAAAATAGATGACACCATCGTGCCTAAGAAGTCTCAGATAGCCTGTGACTTTCCTGATTCCACTACATTATCAAACCGAACATTAATCAGTTTCAGATAATATTTGTACCATTATTCCCTACCTCAAATCAATTAGCCTCGTTACATTTTGAAACTTGACATTATATCTGGATGAAGATCCATTATAATATAAATTCCCATTTATGCCTCGGACTCCCAAATGCTGCGTATAAATCCCCTACCTCTGCAACATGGACACTGTGGAAACTCTCATTATGTAATCTTTTCAGTGCGTCTGTTACTGGATCGGTATGGTCCACAAACTTCGGCGTTCTTCCAGCAAACTAATTTTGGAGACGCTTATAGTGGCCACGTACAGCGAAGCGGAACACTGTGCGATTACATTTATTTCTTGGTCTATCTAACGACTCTTTGCAAACCGTGCACGTCATGGGCCTAAGTGGGATTCACACGATGCTTATGAATGTTAAATTTGTAAAAGGATCAAAGAAAAAGTCCATAACCTTGGGGACACCCACAAGATATCTGTCAAAGCAGTCCGTGAGTCTCCACCGAAATCCGAAAAACTTCCAAATACGAAGCAGAATTCGAACCCGTACAACACGAATTTCCGTTCTAGCACATTCCAGCTTTATCCTGCCATAAACTGAAATTACCTGTACGATTTGAGGTTTTCACGGCGTTGAAAATAGCTACTGCACTTGGGTCATCTAGTGAGACGCCCTCAAACTAATGCCCGCGGCCTGAACATGCGGAGAGACATTTTCTATCTCTCATCACTTTTTCTGCTGAGTTGATAAACTTTGCTGACGACTGATGGTATCAGGCACTGAATACATGTCTGGTAGACTAATATCGCCCCTATGATGTTTTTCTGCCACTAAGGGCTATCCATTACAAATTTGTTGGTAGCAGATTTAATCTGAATCACCAAACGGTCCAATTATGGACATTCTTGAGAAGCTCATAGATCGACAGCAAGAGGAAATGTCTAAATCAACTTAATAATAATCAACCACTAAAGGGATCATCTGTTCTCCGGTAGATATTAATTAAAGTACTTTGTACCAACCCAGTAAAATAATATTGCACCTATCGGCATTCACTGCTCTCAAATCCAGAATCATAAAATGTCTCGGGCATAACCTATCGATGTGAATTTCGTGTTCCTACAAGTTTCGTTCATACATTTCTACCAACATTCATAAAATAAAATACAGACGTGGATTTTCACGAAAGCGTGTCAGTGTGTGTCCGACTATTGACATTTGAAATACGTAAAGCATGTTCATGATCGAATATTCTTTTGAAGATCATGATATCAAAGGAAAATATCAATGATTTAATTACTCTCGAAGCATCGAAACTTAGAACGGTCCAAGATTATACGAACTTCTACCAATAATGATAATAATATATTTGCTCGCTAAAAAGTATGAAAATGGCATCCTCGAGAAATATTTACATGATACATCGAAAAGAAAGGAAAATGAGCCTGTATGTGTGATCTTTCTCGATCTGCCTGTAAAGTAATAAGAACTATAACTTGAAATTGTATCCAGCAATGACACGGGGGGAGAGGGGACTGTGATGGTTCAGCACTACGTGGATGAGACCGATGTAGGCCTTTAGGTCACCATTGCACGCTGTCGCCCACAGCTCGCTTGGGTTATATCAGAATGTTGTGAACCTAACCTAACCACCAGACCGACCTCGTCTAGTTCACTTCCGTAATTCCGTCAATGTGAATACAATGTCGACATGAATCTTATCACCGCCTAAGGGAAACTTTGACGAAATTTTTCAATTTTTCAGGCGCATACGGTATTTTGTTTTTCACTTGACTTCAATAGAAATTCCTTTCCACTTCGGTCACAAAACCGGAAGTGATAGAAAATTTTCACTTGAGCCAGCATAAAAACTTTAAATGTATCTATATTTTAAAACGAACTTAAAATACAGATTACCTACGCAAATAAAGTAATAATTAACTAGATTATACGTGACAGCGAAAGTATGTACACTGTTTGAATGGCCCTAAAACATCAGTACTTTGTGCAAGTCTCCAACATCTAATCATGGACGCGTGTGTAAGGCGAAGACGAGCTGAGACTAGCTCTGGCGTGAGCATCAAATACTCCGTGTACAGAGAGAATAGAATAGTCGTTCATTTTGGCAAACTTCATTTTCAGAATTCGGCACACAACGGCGTAGCAATTTGAATAGCGCTTTGGTGTACGACTGGGTAATTGTCCACGTTCGACAAATCAATGACGAAAATATAATCTTCGACGTGTCACGTGACACATGCCATTGTGGATAATTAGCCTACCGTAACAAAGATCATGTGAGTGGGTAAATGACAAGTTTGCTTGAACCGACAGGGTGAAATGTGCTATGTTTCGATCCAGAACGAAAATGTCTGCGGTCAATTCAAGATGAGCATGGCGGGAAAGGCCACACAGATGGGAAACAAGAACATACAAATCACACGATGGCTGGCACCCGATGAGCTCAAAGGGAGTAAGTTTGCAGTGGTAAAGCGGGTGAAACATAATCAAGGACATTTCCTTGGCTGTCGGCCAACGGAAAATCATTGTTACGTCAATCCTTGACCAGTGTTTGTTGATGTCAGCTCCATGCACATCCTTAATAGACTATGGTCTAGTGCTAAAAGAAATTCTCATCACAAGCAAGCACACGTTAACTGCACGCCAGTCAAATGCAGGAAAAGTGTTACTGGAAATGTTCATCGTCTGTCGGGATGTCATTCACAACATACACATATTCATCTTGAAACCTGCAACGGCAAAAATATCAAGTACAAAGAAATTTCTTCCCCGCCTCTATTCTTTACGCTGTTGTAAATCCTCATCCTCATGAATCTGGTAAGTGGCTGCTACACCATGACAACGTTCCAGCCTCTTATAGAGCAGCAATGAAGGAACCCCTCAGCTTCCACAGCCAACCTATTCTACAGATTTGCTCCAGTGATGGAGGCCCTGGGAACGAACGCAGGCGACGATGGGGCGCGAGGCAGAGAGACCTGCTCCAGTCCAGAGGAATGGATGGTGGCAGAAGTAAACCGCGTCAAATGCGGTGTGCAATACAACCGTCACGATAACAGGTGAGCTAACACGGTCAAAATATTGTGAACTACCGAAGGCTCATTCATAACTAAAGGATATTTGTGTTTATTCACTTTACAGTGCAGAGATGATCAGAGTAAACATTTTCCATTGGAACCTTAAGAATGAAGTATTATTTATTATTACTGCAGAGTCACAAATACCTATATTTTAAAATTTCTAGCCACGTAATATTAATCACTTTATGCGTACATTATATTATTGTACAGACCAAAGAATTTGTATGTCCTTTATTCGGTAATATGGCTAGACTGTCAACATAGAATCTGCTCCGTCCGAGAGCATTAGACAATTTTAATTTTAGACACAAAATACTGTTTAATCATAACTCAGAGACAGAGGGTAAATTTAAAAATATGAACTCGTAGTTTTGTAATTTCAAATACGTATAAACAGGTGAATAAAAAATAAGTTAGACATCTTTGGGCTCATATAACTCATACATCGAAGTGCAAAATGATACAACTATAACATCACCGGAGTCACACAGACACAGAACAATGTGTACTTTTATGTTCGTCTCCTGGCCACATCTTCGTAGACTAATTTAAGAGAGACGGGTCTCCGTTTCCAAATTGCAATACGCCGTAGGCCTGACCTCTTACTAACATGAAATGATGGTCAAGGCGACGTCACGTGACACCGGACAAGAAGAAGCAGACACTGTACATCATCGTATTAGGAAAGGCATGTAATCAAGCTAACGACATGGCACAAAATATTTTTTGTGTAAATAATATTCGCCTGAAAAAAACATCTTGCTGTTATGTAATCCGACGATTAATAATCGTAATTAGATCCTATTCAGTTACTTAAATCCAATGACTCTCAAAAGATTTGTGACAATGGCTGATTCATTACACGAATGTTATATTGGGCAGTGTCAATACGACACGTAATCGCTTAAACACGGGAGTATGTATCTAATGTACCTCATACTATGGACAATGTCCAACACAATATTCCAACAACAATTAAATTTAGTATCTACCGCCCAAGTCCAGGTTCTTCATTTGAGGTCCACCACTATTTTCCATGTATTCATTCCCCCATTCATGCTACGTGCAAAACTAATCTAAATTCACAAGCAAAATAATTGGACGTGAACGAATCAATTTCTCTCCATCCTTCATAAATTCCAAACTAAAATAGAAAGCTCAACCTCGTCAATGTCAAACTGAAATTTCACTCACTTTTGGCCAGGATGTCTCCTCCGAAGGCTCCTGAATGGCTGCACCCCGCATCGCCCTCCTGTGGACAAGTAACACCACATGAGTTTCTTACTCGTTACGAAAGTAGAGGTCGTCGCAGAAGTGTTTTCCCAAGCAACAAATTAGCCAGGAGACCTTTAAATATCCCTTATTAGAGAAAGGGACTAAACAAGTTAGGAAATGTGCGCACTGAGTGTCAACTGTAGAGCGTTCGCCAGAATCTGACCTTTTTGAATGATCGGTGTATCCCCCAATTCAAAGCGGTGAAATGCAAGTCGGATTTAATGCAAGAGTAAACCGCCCAAGACAACTGACTGAAGACCACGTGTTCGCCAGAGCTTGGTTGGTACGAAGTCAGGCGGACAGTCTCGTGTGGGGGGTCAGAGCAGAAAACTACCTGATACGACGCTCGCAGTTGACCCCAAAAGACACCTCCACATTCAACATCTGCAGTGGCTTGTATTTCACAGGGCGATCTGGTTGTGATGTAATACATCCATCTTACCGTTACTATGCACGCATTCAGCTCTTCAATGCTTACAGATAACAATCAAAGGAATGTGTTTAGTCTACTGTCTCTCTGTTGCTTAGAGTCACCGAGGAACTTGAAACTTGTTCCAGAAAGGTTCTTTCGACACTACAATATCACCTACTTTCCTAAGCTGATGTGAATGTATCCGTTGATACTTGATACTCAGACGACCCATTCTTCAAGTGCCTGAGCACTGCAGGTCCACCACAACTTTCGTTGGCTTGATCTATAGACATTCGGTAGGACTCCTTGGACGAGGGATCAGCCTGTCACAAGGCCTCTACCTGTACACGGGACAGCACAACACAGACATCCATGGCTTGAGTGGGATTCGAACCCACGGTCCCAGCGACCAAGAGGCACAAGGCCCACTCCTCAGACCACGCGGCCACTGTGACGGCTCAATTAATGATTACTTAATTGAAATCGAATTTATCAGTTTGTACTGCACTTAATGGATCATTCCAAAGCTGTGATATTACAAAAATGTTTCTCACTTCGTAGTTTTAATAATGCATAAGTTGGAGATCTTATTTAATGCCGAATAAAAGATGGCGATGCGTCCTGTAATTTTTAAATATGGTATCAAAACATTCGTCTTGGAAGTACTGGCGAAATCAATGCAACATCTGTCGTGAAAGCCGGTATTGAAACCGAGATTCAAATCCAACAAAACGTGACGAGTCATCCGTCTCACTGTGTATGTAGTAACTCGTCTGTCTTA